CTCGCTTTGGCCGCGTCTTGGCACACACACCGCCTATACTCTATTCGGTTCGTCTATCCCATTGGCATAGAAATTTATTAGTGGGTCGCCCTAACCAAATGCAAATCCAACACGCCAACAATTGTAGTCCCAGTTAGCTACCCCCCTTTAGTTGCTGCCCAGTTCGTAGTTTTTATGCAAATCTCATTTGAGGCTTGATTAATTTTATGGGCACAAGGAGCGCATTAGACGCGCCTCTGTGCATTGCCCGCGCCAGTTCCTTGATTAACGGCGCTGTTCAGGCTTGACATATATCGAAATACGTGCATGTGCGAGGTGCGTTCGAATCCCATTGAGGGCTACAACTCATACGGGAAGTTTCTTGAACTCAAATAACATGTGAAAAGAAAATATGCTGATCAATGATGGGCAAAGTTGAACAACGATTCGAGCAGATTTACAAATAAGAGAAGAAAATGAGAAAACTGGGTGAAGAAAAATTTAGGAATCTATCGAGGCAGAGAAGGGCAATAAGAAAACTTATCGATAGAAAAATAAGAAAATATATAGAAAATAAATAAATAGAGTAGCAGAAGTAGAAAAATAAAACTACTTGATCTCAAAAGAGGAGAGAAGAAAAAGGAGAAAAAGTGAGTGGTCAATAAAATAATAAAGCTGGAAAGAGAGTATGAAATAATGAATGAAAATCATGAAAAGAAAATGAATAGAAGAAAATGAGATCTGAAAAAGTGATGAGAATAAATAGGTATGCCAAATATTGTAGAATCTCTCAATAGGAAAAGTGGTTAAAACAACTAGGATTTGAACAAATTGTAGACGCTCGAGAATTTATGATTTCCAGAAAGTGTAAGAAAAATTAGCTAATGATAGAACTGAGCGCACATATTTGTTGTTTTAAAATCAGTGGAGCAAGTTTAGCAGCAACCCTCGCTGGCACATAAATCGCAGCTGGACTGCGCTACAGGCACCGCCTGCCACGCACTGGCATTGCCATTCGGATTCGAACTCGATTGTGAGCAGACGATTTTAGTGGTCGTTGTCTATTATTCAGGTGTTGTTGTCATAGGTTCCTTGATTCGTTACTAATTGTTGTACATATTATATTTAGAAGCGAGCAGCACGCAAGGCTCTCCCGTTCACGGTCTCCTGCTCATGCTGTGCAGGGATCGGGGCCGGGCAGGGCATGGCAGGGCGAGGTTAGACGATGTTATTTGTGTCTGCTGCGGGGTTGTCTATTGCATGTTGCGTTAACTTTAATGTCTGTGCCTAGTTAGGCTTTGTTATCGTTATGTTTAGTAGCCCATCCGATTGTCAAGGTTATTATGTCTGCACCTTGTTCGCTCTTGCTCTTTTGCATTCATTATACGGAGCTTAAGGGCTGGACTTAGCAATTGCTGACTTAGCTAATGACAGAGGCTTAGTGGCTTCCGAATTTCATTTTCTTACGCAAATTGATGCACTGATAGAAATTTAGGTACCATACTAGTTTATTGAATTTTAATCAGTTCAATCTATGTCTTAACATAATATATATGTATATACATATATATACACGTATATATATATATATATATATATATATATATATATATATATATATATGTATATAATTTTTTTTTTTTACAATTTAATTATTATATTCACAAATATTATAAACATTTAGCATTTTCATTACTCTATGTGTTATTGATATATCTGCATAAAATTAGCAAAATATGTTTAATAAATACATACCACCTTGATGAAGCCATTTCATACACAAGTTAATTATCGAGTTTTCAATTACCTGTAAAGAAAATAAATTTTTCATTTCAGTTACATTGTCAATTATTTAAAAGCGCCGCACAGCGGCTTTGTTGCGTACTAAAACGAGGTACTGAATTTGCTCTTTGGGTTGGTGTCTAAATAAATGTGCTAAAAACTAAAAATGCTGTTAGGAAAGCTATGCGCTAAGGGGAAGTGCGCTATGCTGTAACTGTACACACACATACACACACGTGCACGCACACAAGAGAATCAGCCGCACAGATATACCGGGGGTGGCTCTGCCGATGCCGCTGCCGCCTCTATTGCTGCTGCTGCTGCTGCTGCTCGTTCTTCTGCTGCTGTTTTCTACTGTTAAAGCCGCCAGCAGAGTATTCGCTTCTCTTTCACACCTTCATTCTGTATTCGGCATTTGCTTTGTTTTTGTTTTCCTTTTGGTTTCTGTGTTTTCTTCTTTTTTGGGGTTGCGCTTCTGTCGGTATCTATCGGCATTTTTGTTGGCTTCCCTTGGCGGACATTAGTATATTAGTATCTCTATATAATATACACTGATATACCCTATATATGCATGTATTTATATTGTAAATATGTATACATATGTGGTATGTATGTTAATTTTCCTTTCACTAAGTTCATTGATTATTTTAGCTGTTTTATGACAAAGTTCATTTCATATTTTTGAGCAGATGCCGCCAAGTGCCACTTGAGGAATCTCCCAAGATGAGTTCCTCAATGACAGTTCTCTATACACGCGTGTGTATGTGTGCCTGTGTGTGTGTAAAAGCTTTGTGCCACTGCGCATGTATGCGTTAACAGCCCCTTAAAGGCTGCGGCGCAATAGATGAATCACATATGTCGTATCTGCCCAACAGGCAGTCCTGCCTAAAGCTAATCGCTTAAACATAAAATCTGGTACAGCTTGAAGATTATGAACTAGTTCAAAGAACAAAGAACTTGGAAATGACTTGAAACATGACGTGAAACAGAAATATAAGTTATGGTAATCTTTGTGAGTTCTTTTGAGCGAGTGTTAAACTGTGGGTAACCTTATAGCCTCGTGTATACTTAATTTTATAATTGTTCATTTAAAAATTTTTTTATTTATATTTTTGGTTAAAAATTATAGTTTTGTGTTTTTTTATTTCCACTAAATGTATCATTTGATACAGAATTATATTTAAAAGAGGTTAAAATGTGAAGATTTATATTTTTATTTTATTTACTTTATTTATTTATTTTTTTTTTATAAAATTTACATTTTTTTTTTAACTTTATTTATTTCCTTTTCAGTTTTGGTGTTTGTCTAACTTTTTTATTTATTTGATTTACTTACCCTAAGAACACAGTTAAAATTGATATAGATAATACGATAAGATATCTAGGGCCTTAACTGACTTTCTAGCAAATGTATGTAAATGAACAAAAACATATATTTAATTATTCAGCCCATATCTAGCTGACTCTATCTATAAAACTTGTACTTTTTTTTTTTTTAGATCTTTTAGTTTATATTTATTAATTTGCAGTTAATCCAAGCCTTGCTTGGCTGTATTTTTATATGTATGATTATTACTGAAAAGTTTTCCCAAAAAAATAAGAAAGTCAAGTAAATTAACTTTCATTTCTCATTCTCTTATCTACTTCAATAAAGTTCTTTCACTTTTCAAACAGCCCGCGATAAAGTGTCAAGGGTATTTCAAGTGCATCAACTTTAACTGTATTTATCTGTATATTCAGTTAGCTGTTAATTTATCAGCTACCGATATTTATAGCTTCCCCGACAATCGGACCTAAAAACATTTGTAGTTTTGACGCACTTCGATTATTGATTGCCACAAAATGTGGCAACTGCGTGGCACGCACGCAGCGCTGCCCCAAAAGGCGGCCAATCACAAATATGGCCAGGCCATAGCGAGAACAACAAATTATGCGACAACAGCGATGCCAAATGGGGCAACATTGGGTAACCAGACGATCCACCTAGAGGCGGCTCGAGACGACTCGAGACGTGGCAGCTAATCCAAGCTGTGCAACGATCTCTCTCCCAGCGGCTGTGGCGAAAGTGTTGCCCGTTGTTGGCCGTAATGTACCACATGAAATCTGTAAGCGTTTTGACCGAGTTTAATGAACTGGCCATGGGCCTGGGGTGGGCGGGCCTGGCTGGGGCTGTGCATACTGTTAAGGGTTGAGTTGGTTTGTCTGCTTAGGGGTGGCTGCTATTGCAATTTGCGTGCCAAGCGACACTTTGTTAGAGAGCAGAAAACAATTAAGGCAACACCCAAAAGAAGACTCACACACACACACACACAGCCCTTTGATGTCTTTATTAATCTGTGGCCAAAATTTTATTGATCAAACTTTTAAATGCCAAAAAAACCAACTTCAAAATACTTTAAATTAATTAATAAAGTGTGCAAACTATGCGGCATTTCCAATTAGCATTCACCTGGCACACACACACACACATGACAACTTAATAAATGTTGTTTTGTGCGCGCTTTTCATATTAATTTGTTGCTTCGCATCGAGTGCAGTCGGACAAGCCCTAGCCCCTCTCGTAAATAGATTTGTGGGGCGCCACTTTGCATGCAAATTATGTTAGCATTAAGGGTCATTCCACACACACACACCCACACATACACACACACATATATATATATATATATATATATATATATATATATATATAGACACATATACACACTTTTCGATTTGGCACAGTTTTCATGCTATTCTATTCTAGTTCTGCTTGTCACGTTGTAAAGATCAACAGAAGATGTGTTTCTACCGCAATGACTGACCCTTAAATACCCTGGATATTTGTTATTATGAGTAAACACTGAAATAACCGACTAGAGAATACCCTATTATGTATAAACATTACAAATAGCGACTGTCACATATGCTGGAATTATGATAGCGTGTTTGGACATTGGAATGACTGACTATCAGGTACCCTACATGTTTGTTATCGGATACCCTACCAATCGGATGCAAGTTAAATAGTTATATATAGATATCTCAATGATTTAGGAATAAAAAAATTAATTTTCTATCCAATTTCAAGACCAATTTGTGTCTTGAAGCTCTAAACGAATCAGTGAAATTTATTTTGATGCTTGTATTCCCTACACCCTCCGTATCAATAATTCAGTTACCACATTAGTTCCAGTTGAAATTTTGATTAGGCCATTATAATTGGATTGGACAAACACTTATGAAGAATTTAATAGAATGAGTATTCCAATATTTACAATAGTTGCAAATCGTAAAGCGAATATACAAAATGCACTTAATCATCATACTCGCCGTATGCGGAACATTATATGGAACGATTAAAGCAGAGGTAATGTCAAGGGTCTATTTATATACCAATAACATTTATCGATAACTATGTGAAATGCACTACATAAATACATGATGATTGCAGAGCGTAAAGGAGCTGCAGGCGAAATTGAATACGCTGGAGAAGGAGAATGCAAAACTGAAGACAGAGCAAGAGAAGCTCCAACATCAAGTAGACGAATATGACAAAAAGCGAAAAGAAATCGCAGATCTAGAAAAGCAGACTGACGTTTGTCAGCCTAGTAGCAGAACAAAAGCAGTGAATGCACAGAGTGACAATGCCACGATGAACAGCGTTGCTCTGCCCAAGTTCTTCAACAAAAACCGTAAAAAGTTTCGAACGCCAGAGGGTCGCCGACACTTGGTTAATTGCCTGATCAACCTATCCACTCCGTCCAGATATAGCTGTGTGCCGTACTTGCACTTTACGGGCGCCAAGACGATAACGATGCCCGGCGTAAAGCCAATTCACGTTAGGTGCGATAGCGCAACAGCTGGTTCCGGCTGGCTGATCATCCAGCGCCGAGTCCGTGGAACCGAAAACTTCTATAGGACTTGGGCGGAGTATCGAGATGGTTTCGGGAAGCTGAATGAGGACTCTTTTCTGGGACTGGAGAATATCTATAGACTAACCAACTATCAGAAATTCGAGCTGTTTGTGAAAGTCGTGAGCTTTAAAGGTAAAGTTAACTGGGCCCGTTACGGCGACTTCCTAATTGGTAACGAGGATGAGTCGTACGTGCTGAAGAGTGTTGGCGAGTTTTCGGGCACTGAAGATGTTCTATCGAGAAATGTGAACAGTAAGTTTTCCACCTACGACAGAGAGAGCAATCCCAACAATCTATCGCAAAAGTTTCACGGCGGCTATTGGTATATCGAAAATGGTTTGCAAAGCAGGTGAGTTCCTCAATATTGATTAATTATTATTATTATTGATTAATAAATAATTATTAATTATCTTACTTTTTGTCAATTAGCAATCCCAATGGCAAATACTTAAAGCACCCGAACCATTACTCGTATGGAATGCATTGGGCAACTGGAGAGAGCGAGAAATCCGTCAAAATGATGATTCGTCCAGTACTGGGATGAGACTCTCATTGCTTTGGCAAAGTGGTCAATAAAAACTCTTACAAAAATAATAAAATATTCAGTTAATCGACCGAGAATGCTTTATTGTGAATCAAATGAACTCAAGATTTGATTTAAGAATGATTTATATATCTTCTACTATTGGAAACAAAAACTATAGATATTTTACAGAAATAACCAAGCCTTTGCCGACTCAAAAGAAACATTTCTTCTTCTTGCTTGACTTTTGAGTACCCTATATAAAAAATATTTCAATGACAACTGTCAGAATATTGGATGGAACTTAAGATGAGAATATGTAAAATCGATTTGAAACTTGGAGCGAATGGTATTCAAAATATTCAACTGAAACGCAACGAGATCCTTAGAGCTTTCAATTTATTCTGAATGTGCGTAGGAAGCAAGAGTTTTCGGATTCATATCCAGGGTGTGGAAATTTATTTATTTTCTTTTATACTCGTTTTTTTACCTATAAAATTCGACTATCGTGAAGCTTTGGCATATGCTTCAGGAAGTCATGAGTTCGAGCATCCCCTAGAGAATTTCAAACAAGCGGTCATTTTTATATTTTAATAAATAAGTTCAATTTTTGTTTTCAAGTTTTTTAATTTTTAATATTTATTATACGCCTTAAGGCCTCAGACCGGACGTTATACTATTTTTGTTTGTCTTAAAATCTGTCCATAATTGGAACGAATTACGTTAAAAATAATGTAGCAAATAGTTTTACGCTTCATTACGAATCCGTCACAGCTACAGTTGAGCCTAGGCATATTAGTATCAAGAGCCCCAACATTTAGTTATTAAAGACACTTAAGGCGGTAATGCAAAATGAATAAAATCATATTCTGTGTGCTGCTCATGTCGTTTCTGGGATCTATCAACGCTGCTGGCGAAGCGGTAATAGCGGCAATAGTTATTAGGACTTGTGTTAATCTGATATATAATTTACATATAAATACAAGTTATAAGATCTGATACAAATCTGTATTCGTTGCAGCCCGCAGAGAAGGACGTGCAGTCGCTTTTGGATAAAGCGACAAAGCTTAATGATGAACTGAAGGCAAAAAATACTAAGCTCAAAGACATGGTAAAATCGATTCAAGAAATGGACGGGAGGATCAAAGCGTTAAAGGGGAAGATCGAAAATTGTAAACCAAATGGCGTTGAAAGAAAAGCAAATGTTCCAAAGGACCTGCGCTCCCCACTGTATAAAGCCTTGTTGGCACGAAATCCGAATTTGAAATTCGAAACAGTTCAAAAAGAGCTAATAACCTGTCTAAAAAAATAAACAGATAAACATAGAGCTCTGGTGATCTGTCAGCTAATGCTCAAAAGATATTCATATTGATTTGGCATTATTACTGGGTGGACTCTGGGAGCCTGCTTCTCCCTTCTTATTTCTCCCAATATATATGCGAACCTTTTATATCTGGATTCTACTGCTACTACATAAGTGTATATACACAAGTTCAGCTTGTCCATCTCGAACTGTGTTTGGAGTTGAAAAAAGTCTGAGCACAACCATAATTTTATAGGTTAGGACATTAATATCCACAACAGACAGATCGAGCTATACTCGTAACTATGAAAATGTGGAAGCAGTTATAGGACTTCCTCATGGACAGAAAAAAATACAGATAGAAAGAGCCAATCAGATACATATACAGATAGAGAGTGAATGCGTGAATGAGTATAATAAATAAGTCTCAAGCGATCTCTGTAGCCTAGGATATTTCCTAGTCGAGCACCATAAGTTTTAATTTTTCAATTTTACAGTTGTCACTTCTCTAGTTTAAACTGAATATATATCTCTTATAGAAGAGCTCTATAAGCTTATTTAGTTTCATGTCAAATCGGACAAATTGACTTTTCCATGAGTTTCAAATCGAAAGCTATTTTAAATTTGCTAAATTTGCAGAAGCGTAAATGAAGAATATATAAATCAATTAATTGTCAAGCAAATTAATCATAATCTCCATATATGGGCTACACGCATGTCTACCTAAAAAGTACACCAAAGCTTTTCATAGATTTTCGTGCTTCATTTGCTGTCAGTCGACAGGGCGAGGCAGCAGAAAGAGCAGAAGTAACAACAAGAAAACTCATATATGGCGCTAAGTGTCTAGAAATTAGATAGATTTTCGTGTTTTAATAGCGGATGCCACAGCAATTAGCAGAGACTTCTGAAAAACTGAGGGAATTCCGGCACTTATGCGGCATACTCTGTTAAGAATGTGCAGGAATAGTAGATTGGAGCTACAAGGGATGCAATTCTGGATATATAGTTATGTATGTGGGCATCAGATAGAAATCGACGCACGATTTCTAACCGGATAGCCTCCTTTGCTCAAAGAATGTAAGTAAGTAATGTAAGGAAAATGCAAGAGACACCAATTCTCGCACAGCTGGCTTGCAAAATTGTGTTAATTGAAGACAAATACTACGTAAGAAGTGTGTCTGACAGAATTGCAGTCAAAGTTATCTATTTATAAAGCAAAAGAGCGCACTCACGCTCTCTCTCTCTCTCTCTCTCTCTCTCTCTCTCTCTCTCTCTCTCTCTATGTCTTTTCACAAAGTGAGAAGCACATAGCGAGGACTCTGTCCGCACTTATCTACTGCGTGTGCAAATATAGATTGGTGCAAAGAGTTTCGCTAAGGTATGTGTATATCACCTGTTAGTAGAGTTCAAAATTAAATAAACATGAACTCAGGTGAAAGAAAAACTGAACAAATAAATGAATGTAGACAAAATGCAAAGACAAGGTCGCTTGTAGAATAGTATCTGAAATTGCAGAAAATCTCATTTGCCTCATGTTTGGAAATGTTTGACCTGTTTCGATTTCAAATTATGTTCACTATTATAATTATCGCAATGATTTATTTTAATAATATTCATGTTCGTTAGGAAACCTATAGGTCCATCGATCTTCTCTTTTCTAAAAGTAGATCAGATTTAGCTATAGCATTAGAAAAGAAATCAAAAAGGATAATTATCCTGGTTTATATACTATTAAGCTAATATTCATTTGACTGCTAAATATCTATATATATATATATATATATGGCATATCGCACGATATTATAATAATACCTGCTGTAAGGGTATATGTAATCATAGTATATTTGAATTATAGATTGTTATATAGTTCGGACAGAAGTAGGTGACGCTGACGTCGACGCGACGATGACTTCATGTGAATGACACAGCTGTGTAAATGAGAGAATGAGAGAACGCGGCAATGCGAGAATGAGCGATGGAGAGCAGGAGATAACTGATGGCAATCAGCAACAATATTTATTTATATTTTTAGTCGGTTTCTGTTGTCTATTTTTTGTTGTTGCTATTAGTTTATGTTATTTAGCTCTAAGATAAAAGCGCACAAAACAATAACAATTGTTGTTGTTGTTGTTGTTGTGGCTATTATTATTTAACCGATCCGGTTTGCCCTACCGTTGACTATTTGATTTAATCAGCGTCAGAGGTGACAGTGAGTGGAACAACACAACGAGTAAAAGTGGGAGTGAATAAGAGCGAGAGAGAGAAAGAGAGAGAGAGAGAGATAGAAGGATAGAGTGAGAGCCACACTTCAAGAATCTGAAAAGAGGAACACCAACAAGAATATGTTGTACTGTGATTCGAGGCAATAATTTGAATTTCACTCTTAAATGTCGATTTATAATATGTATATACACTATATATAATATAAATCTGATAAGGAAACCTGCAAAATCATGAATGAAAACAAATTCTCATTTGAATCCAAAAGGCAATTTCATTAACTTTTATTTTAAGTTTCGTTTTCGGTTGAACGTTTTGATCATATTCCTAGACAGATTTTTATTTAGTCAGCGATTAGGCCCAACGCATGTGTTTAGATGAATTACAAAGACATAAAGATACCATCAGCCAAACTAGCTTAATTGAAACGAGGTCATCTGCAGAGTACAGACCGCAAACAGCGAGAGCAGCAGCATCAGCAGCGGATGATGATGCGGTTGACAGCGACAGAGGCAGAGGCGGAGATAAGAGTAGGAACACGGGTGGGAGTATGGCCGGGTAGTTCGACGGAGCAACGATCAGGGGCAGAGCGAGAGGTAGAGGCTAAGACAGAGGCAAGGACAGAGGCTTAATCTCAGATCTTTCCCTTCAGGCCGAAGTTGGGACTGGCACTGGTAGAATCAGTGGATGAAGCGGGTGCTAGTCTGAAGGGCAGAGGTAAATGCAGAATCAACAGTAAATAGGAGAAGCTATAGAAACAGGGCCGGGATTAGGGGCCGGGACAGAAATTGCAGGCAACAGCGGCGCCGTTCGTGGTGCCGATAACTAAAGTTGGGGAGTGGGAAACGCAGCGACAAGGACAGGGGCATAGGCATGATTAGAGACGGTAGCTGGAGCAGAAGCGAACGGAGTAGCAAGCAATGCCTACACAACTTCTGTTACCGATAACAACAGATGTTAGATGCACAATGCATGCGAGGCACAATTAAAACGTAGCTGACAGGTCGTTGCGCCCATGCCACATTCGCCAGACAATGGTTGCCACATCCTGTGGCACATCCCGCCCGGCTGATGCCCGATGATAGCGGGCTTAACTGCTGAGTGCCCGCTCTTCAGACACGAACATTAAGCACAAACAACTCTTTTTCAAAGCCGCTCGACAACTGTGCAAACAGCTACAATGAAAATGTTGTACGAGTATTGCAAGAAGTGGAATGCACTAACTAATGTCTGACTTGATGGGCATAAATGTATGTATACTCGTAACTAAGCTCCAAATGTCATATGAGTAAATTCAGATTTCCATTGCTTTTTGATATCAGTGAAAGATCGATATATATTTATGTGTATATCGGCTTAGGTACATATATACTGAGCTCAACTTGTCTTAAAGAAAATTCAATTCTCAATATACTCATACTATACTCAATTCTCAATATACTCCATATACATATATATAAATCGATATCAGTTCATAACAAAAGTTTAAGCTTTAAACTTAAATTAACTTAAAGAAGTTTAAATTTTCAATGGATCTTTGCCTTTTTCTCTTTTTTAGTTAATACTCCATCGTGCTCGGCTCGGGACATATTCGAACGCTAAATTGGGGGACCCTTCGCTAGGGTATACAAATCTATTTGCACACTAGCTTAAGGCAGCCAGAAAATATGACGTGAGCTGGTGTTGGTGGTGCGCTCGTGGTGCATGTTTGGCCAACATAACCATCAGTGTGCCGGGGTGTGCCAAACACTTTGACTAATTGAGCGATAGATACATAGATACATATCGACGATTCTCTGCTACTGCTCTTAATTGATTTGCGGCGTGTTAACATCGCGTATGAGTAATGTGTGTCAGCTCACCTTTTTGCTCTTGACCAGCGCGTGCCGCGGAAGCCGGCTCCGGCTTCTGTTGCTGCTGCAGTAGCTGCTGCTGCTGTTGCTGTTGCTGTTGCTGTTGCTGTTGCTGCTGTGGCGCTTCCTGTTGCAGCAACACGGGCTGCACTGGGCGCGTTTCGGGAATCGTGGACACCGCAGCTTCCAGCACAGAGCTTTTCTCCATGACATCCGCCATATTGAAAATGCCTGTATGTTTATATATGTATGTGTTTATTTATATATGTATATATGTGTGTATGTATGTGTGTTGCACTTAGTACAGGATTCTTTTTTTTTTGACCCGCTGTGTGTACTCTTTTCTGTGTTAAATTTAATATTTTCTGCACCACTTTTCTTGCTTCACCTTTTCACACTTTGATTTCGCTTCGCTTTTGGAATGCTTTAGTTGCGTTCTTTTATTTTTCAAATAATAAAGTCGCAACAATATTTATTAGAATAACTAAATTTAACAATAATAATGCTGATATAATTTTGTTTCTTCTTTTTTCTTTTTATTTTTTTCACTTTGCTTTGGTTTTCTCCTCAATTTTCGGGTATTTTTTTTAGTTTTCTTAAATTTTGCCAATGCAATTTTTCTGAGAGCGTTTGGCGCTGCGCTTCGTATCTTTTGGGTTTGTTATCTCGTTTTCAACTGATTTTCAGTTCGGTTGAAATTCCTAATTAACGTCTGCTCGGGCAGAGGCGCAAGCTTTGCGAAAGCTTTATATTTAGTACGCGCGCAGGGGCAAAGCTGTGAAAGCTTTTCCTAACAATAGCACAAGCGCCATCTGTCGGCTTTATGCTTAAGTGTTTTTCACTTTTTCAACACGTACTTTTATTTGATGCAAAGTTTTAAAGTTGTTTATTTCATATTTAATTTCTTTATTTTTATTATTTTATCAAAAATAGTTCTGAGCTCAATTATTAAATTAATATCAAATATCAAAATTTTTATTTCAATAAATATTTAATATATGGATGAAATAGAGGGCATGTAAAAAATATTGCTTGAGATTAAGGGGAACTGCGTTTAAAATAATAAGCAAAAAAAAAAAAAAAAACAATTTAAATATTTGGGATTTAGTATTTAGTATATTGATATATTTACCACCTTATTTACAGCATACATTAAAGCATTAGCTCTATAGTAAATTAAAACTGAAATTTGGTTTCTAAAACAGTAACAAATTCAATAGCATTTTTGTTTTCATAAATTTTGACGCGGTTTCTTTTATTAGATAAAAAAAAAAAAAAAAAAAAAAAAAAATTAAACTTTTTTTTTTTTTGAAATTTTACTTATTTAGACATTTATTTAAGGATAAAAGGATTGTTGCATATATGCAACAGATAGGCTTGTGATGATAATTGAAGTATTTCATAGTGTTATGTAAGAAGTAAGACCAAATATTTTTCAAAGTTAGTTTAATAATATTATTAATTAATTATATAACACATTTAAGTAAAAAAGTGGAGTTATTTTAATGTAAATGAAATTTTTTGAAACAATTATTTCTTTTGTTAAAGCAGAGTGCTACGCCACATTTTTCGCACATTATCTTTGAAAAAAACAGTGCAGTTTGGATATTTGCATCTGTTTCTGTTGTCATTCCACGTTGGCCAATGCCCAACCTGATCTTGACGCACCATTTGATTTGGTACATGTTGAGTTGGATCTCTCTGCTTTTTTTTCTGCAATTCATTTTCAACAGAATAACTAACAGAATAAAAAAAACCCGGACTTGCCAACGTCTGCTCCTTATTTTATACCTTCCCATTATGCTATCTATGAGATCAACGCCACCCATATATCTATTATATTCTGCTATTGCAAATGGAGGGTCAATATGAATATAATCCTTTTGGACTTTATTGTCGGGCTGTGTCTTTGGGACTTATTCCAGCGTAATTGGATGCCAAAGTAACAATTTTGTTATCCACTGATGTACCTCGTGATTTTTTTTTTTAAGTTTATCTGGTCAATGGATTTATGGTTTGGAATTCGGTTATTTTTTATTGTTCCCAAAGCTAGAATTCCTCCTTCCGCCAGGTACTTCAAAAGGGGTAAGGAGTTGAAATAATTATCAAAGTATAATCGATAATTCCGATGCCTGGGCATATCTCTAGCCAATCTGACGACACAGTTTGATGCCGCACCCAAATCTGGCTCGTTGGGCCGTTCTTTATTTTCATCGCTATCCTCATCAGTATGAAAGTCAAGTTCATCCTCGCTATCTAAACTGTTGAAATAATTTTCAACCTGTGAAGGTGTTAAACCTTTTCTTGTCATATTTTCTGCGTAAGAAGTGCTATTTGTATATATGTAGTCTCAAAAAATACATACAACAGACCCAAGACAAGTTCTATGACACATAACAACATATAACCATATGTATAAACATATAATATAAACAGAAATACTCTATGTTGCATATATATAACAAAATAAATTCTGCACAATATAACTTCGAATAGTTGTTTGATGTATATCTGCAACATACCGATTTTTCGAATCTACACACAATACACAACAAGAAACATGAAAACTTGATAGCCCACGCATTTGAAACATATTTACCTTTGTTTTTCTTAAGTTTTTCGTAAAGAAATATCTATATTTTTAATAAAGTTTTGCAACACAATTTTATCAGCCCACACAACATTGGCTTCTCACAAAATGATGTACCACAACAGATGTACAACAAAAAGCCACATTCGATTTTTTCGATTTGCATTGCGAAAAAATAAATTTTAAAGGGTATGTTGCAGATATGCAACACGGCCATATAAAGGGTTAAGCTGAAGAGAGTCTTGCTCTATATTTTATATAGGTCTTCACGTCCTATTCCGAATTGGGTATAGATGGCTAAAGATCTACAAATGCACTGATTTTGTTAACTTGTTTATATGCACCTGTTTTAAAGCTGAATAACCGTAAAAAAACAAAAAAAAAAAAAAAGATAGATTATCAAACAACAAAATAAAATTGTCAACGAAACTTTTTTTCATTTTTTTTGTTTTTGTTTTTGTGTTTTTTTTTCTTTTCGTTTTGATACTTTTGTTTTATAATTTAAATTTTTTATTTTAAAAAAAATAATATTATCTTGAAGTTCAATTTTTGCAGTTGTAGTAGCAGAAGTAAATTTTAATTAAAATAATATACGAGAGAGAGATAGAGAGAGTTAGCGATGAATATAACATCTATGGAGAATGGCTGTTTGCTATAAATTTATTGTTGTTGTTGAATTGTTGTTGTTGTTATATTTATAGCTGATCTGGTCTGTCACACATTCTGGCGAGGAATGCTATAAGATGAGAAAGAGTTTTTTATTAGATGTGTATTATATTTATAGAGAGAGAGAGAGAGAGACAGAGAGAAAGACAGAGAGAGAGAAAGACAGTCGATCACAAAGAACAAGAAAACTTACTGTTTAGTCGAAGACGACGGGATCGCTCATCAAGCGCTGGATGAACTCTGCAGGGGCGGTTCATCGATGTCAACATACAGGTGGTGGTGCAGTGCAGTGGTGCAGTGGTGCAGTGGGTCACACAAAAGACACACACATTGACAGAGTGTGCGGGAGAGTGTGTTCAGAGTGCATTTCGTTAGAGTGTTTGAGTGATAGGACAACAAGTTGGTGTGTGTGTGCGAGTGTGGGTGTAGGTGTGTGGGCGTGTGTACATGTAAAAGATACAAATACATTATGTAGCACTGACACATAGACAAATGGAATAGATAACAATTTAGGCAAGTTCTACTTACGAGAGTATGGGATCATGCCCTCATCATCCTCGGGATCCATGCAGTCAGCGAACAGAGTCTCAACCTGCTCATCATCCAGGGACTCACCTGATAGAAAGAAGTAACAAGTTAGCCTCAATAATAGCTATTAACTACATTAGATCCCATTTACCAAGAGCCAGCAGGGCGTGCTGCAACTCAGCGAGCAGCATGGTGCCATTCTCCTCCTTGTCGTACAGTTTCAAGCACTCAATGAAATCCTCATAACAGCCCTGCTCCTTCTCCTTCTTCACTTGCGAGTAGATGGGCAGGAATTCCTCCAATTTGATCTTCTTCTCGTTGCGCTTCTTGGTGCCGCCCATTTTCTCGATCAAAGCGAGGGTGGGGTTCAAGTTCAGAGCGCGCAGAGCATCGCCTAGATCGACGGCATCGATGCCCTCACCGGGGGAGCCCATAACTTCGAAAACGAATTCGACATCTGTGCGAAAGGAAGTTTGAATAGGAGCATGATTAATGCTATTTGTACCAAATTATAGTACATCGATAACAAATTTATTGATTTGTTTTTAATTCAATTTAAAACATTTGATTTATTTATTTATGATATCATTTGATTGAGGTCAAATTCAATAACCCTGAAACTAAGGCTACGCACATTTTTGGTCATCATTCACACTACACAGAATGTGTGTGTGTGTGTGTGTGTGTGTGCGTGTGTGTATGTGGGCGCATTGCCAAAACACATACTTCATATACATATACGTATACGTAATTCGACACTCGAATACCTCAGCATGTACTATACACACACGCACACATGTACAATGCATATATAATATATATATACATACATGAATTTGTATATGTATGTATCTGCTCTTTGGCAGTGCGTTTCAACAAAAATAAATTTGTTGAAATAACTTGGCCAAAATTAGATCGTGCGCTCTTCTCATAGATATATATATATATATATATATATATATATATATATATATATATATAAATATATATATATATATACATATTTACACAAAATTTTCCATTATTTTTCCTTAGTATTTCTTGAGATTTTCTGGGTTTAAGTATGCATTGTTATAGCATTCACAGTCTTTTCAAAGAACTTTTACTGCCACTTCATAACTATATACATATAGCTATCCATATGCGTATATCCATATATATATATATTTTTTTCTTTTCCCAATGATTACGAAACATATTTTTGCTGAATATCCATCGCAGATCCATGTGCTTTTAATTTATATATGTATTCGTACATGTACATGTATATACGACGCTATTCATGTATAACACACGCACACATTATGTAATCACTTTTTGAAGATAAAATCACATTCGAAAATCTTTAGATTGATCGATTTTATATAGATGATGTCTATATCATATTATCTAGTTTAATTTCTAGCTTCAAATTTCATATTTTTCATATATTTTATGTTTTTTTTTTATGATATCTTCTTTGAGGTTAGAATTGTAATCCTTCGTTGTTTGGTTTTTTCTTCAACTTACTTTCAACTTCACGCTTTGGAACATCAGCCTGTGTATTTGAAGAGTAGAAAAAGAATTTTAGTTTGTATATTATTTCAATACATTTTTATTCACACAGGGTTTTCAAATTTTTTGTATTTTTTTCTTTTTATTTCTATTTAAATTTTCTATTATTTTTCAATTGGTTGATTTCACTCACCATTTTGTCTATTGAATGCGAAAAGCAACTGTATCGCGGATGAGCTCGGTCTCGACTGAACGCTATTCGTCAGTGGCCGCACGGCAAGATAATGTGCTAAGGTGATGCTGACCAGCTCACACACACACACACATACATGTAGATCTAGAAACATATGCAAAAGAATTTACTTTCATCTGGGCAACATTTTCCAATATACTCTCTCTCCCTCTCTATCTGTCAGTCAGTTCTCTCTCTCTCCCTCTCTGCGTGTATGCTCTCTGCTACTTATTTCTATTTTTAAGATATATGTATCTATATATGTGAGACTTTTCCGATATATGTGCCTGCAAAATAATAATCAGTTGTGGCATCGTGTTGAATATCATTTGATGTTAACGATAATATCTTAGGCGTATATTGTGTTTAGCCAGAGATAATATATGTATGTCGCATATATGTATATATGTATATAAATATATATATTTATATAGTTTTTTAGATATTTAGTATCTGTCGACCCTGATCGTCTGTATGGCAAGCGAAAATCGCAATTTATTGAATTTTCTCTCTATCATTGAACATGTTCTTTTGGCTCTATTGTAGTTTCTATATATACATGTTATATGCCTTAAAAACACCTGAATAGCTTTAAAAACATGTAATTTGTTTCAAATCTTTCTCGGCTGTTATCCATCTCGCTCGCACAATATCTCTAGCTCTCATCTACATAGAAGGCGTATTACTGGGAGTCCCATACAATTGTGTTTCTCTCTCTCTCTCTCGCACAGCGAAATATTTGTTTTTCTCTCGGTTCATTTTGTATGCGCGCTATTTATAAAAACTATGACACAGATACACCAAATTGTATTCAGAGCATTCATCTACAACGCATATCCGAACTATATTCCTATATACACACACGAGTATTTGTTTATATACATATCTATAAACATATGCATACATATATAATTTTAAGGAAGTTTGTATTTAATAGACTTGTATGCTGATTGAGCAATCAACCCAGGAATTTGGCATCTAATTGGCAGCGTTGTCCTTGGTGGTTGCTGCGCTGACCTCGTTTTGGGCTCAACAGCTGTTCAAGCCAAGGCTTTTGCTGCGCAGCCTCAGAGTGGGCAACAACCTGTTGCCGCATGTGGCATAGAGGCCAGGCTTTTATCATATGTACGTGTTGCTCTTCGGCAGCTTGTGCGGACGACGGGGCTTATTATAAATGATGCTCTCAGCCGAGCCAACATCTGTTCAGTGCTCGGATGCTCGGCTTATGAATATGGACCAATTGTGCGCAGTGGCAATTGCGCAGCTCATTGATAAAAATCTGTTGCAGATTGTTGCAGACGATAACGAATACACGAAGTCAAAGAGTTTTTAATCAATCTTAATCTCAAGGAAGCTCTGCAATTAGTGGCTAGCATCACATGAACTAGCATATGATACTCAATATATATTTGATAATATATATAACATGATAGTATAGTATATATATTATTTGATAGATATTATAAACGAGTAATACTATATTCTAGACCAGCGTATATTGGCTTAATTCATTTCATCAGGTAGTTGAACCTGATATGTATTCATATAAAGTTAGACATGATGGGTAGTGTGTCATAGCCTCTTCTAAAGAAATATATAGATAAGAGCGTAAAATTTCTCATTTCACAGTTGCAGATATAAAAGAGCATAGCGCATATAAACAAATAAATATTTGTTTGACACATTCCATAATATATACTCAGCTGTTGGTTAAGATTATTGTTAGATCGAACTGAGATTAACTCATTTCCTTTACATTGCATAGCTTCCAGGATCTTCCTGAACAGAATTAATAGAAACACTTCGACTTCCAATTGCACTTTTTATTTCGTTTTATGTTTCAATTCAATATGACTGAAGACATTGTTTTACTATTTATAAATACAACGGTCGAATCATCATTTTTGTTGCTTTATTATCATATATACCATCCCAGTGAATTCCGTCCTTTGCCTTTCCTATAGCGTAATATTTGCCATTAAGGTTGCTAGAAATAGACGAATCATTTAATATATGGCAATCCTGTAAGGGTATTGAGGAGTTACCTAGTACACACTGAAGAATCGACATACCAATAGCCACCATGATATAATTTAGATAAATTTTGAGGGCTATTTTCTCGGTCATAAGTCGAAAAATCCTTGCCCACATGAACGAACAGTTTATCTACGACACCCTCAAATTTGCCAAGACTTTTAAGATTGTACTTTTCAGACTCGGAGCCTATAATGAAGTTATCGTATCGAGCCCAGTAAATCTCGTAGATACCATCTGTCTGCACCAGGACTAACAGCTCGTGTCGCTGGTAGTTGGTTAGACGATGAATAACCTCCAGTCCGAGGAAGAACTCTCCGTTCCGATTCCCAAAGCCATCTCGATATTCAGCCCAACTCCTATAAAAATCTTCGGAGCCGTCGAATCGATTCTGGATAACAAGCCAGCCGGGTCCTGTTACCTGAGAATCGCATAAAACGTTAAACGATATTACACTGCGAATAGTAAGTGGTCATACATAATCTGGGATCGGTGGGGGTACATCTGGTTTCACGCAGTCTACTATTATAATCGGCCGCCATGGTTTATTAAAGCACTGTTGGTAATATTTTTCTTTAAGCCCATTGGAGACCAACGACTGTAAATTCTTTACTCTGGCCTGAAGGTCCGACAGTTCACTCTGAAGCGTCCATTGAATTCCAGTTTGATTGGATATTATTATCTGTTGACAAAGTTGTTCCTGCAGATTCCCGATCGATACGTCAAGTGCCTGTATTTCTGGGTACCCATTCGATTGATCATTCCAGACCAATTGCAGTTGCTTATCTTGTTTCTCCAGCATTACCTTGGTTTGTTGCAGCGCTTTCCAGCGATTTTGCATATGCGAGAGACTCTAGACCGCCAATGGAATAATATAATTTTTATATAACTATGATAGGCTCACACACAGCCTACCTCGCACTGAGCCCTGATGGCTGTCCATGATGTTGCCAAAATGGCAAACATTAGCAAAATTTTCATTTTTCAATGCGCCTAGAGAAACCTTCGTCTTTAAAGCTGAAATCGAACTGAAACAAAGCCCTTTTCCTATGCTATAAGATAACTCTAATGAAGTTAAATAGCAATGTCAAAGTCGAACTGGAACCGTATTGATTAGTTACAAAACTTCAGATTAGTTTTAGAAATTGTAAGCTTGTTATACCCTGATCCCATTGAAAATAGGAAATCAGGGAATAATGGATTTGTTAAAATGTATGTAACAGGCAGAAGGAGGCGTGACAGACCCCACAAAGTATATATATTCTTCAACAGGCGACGAGCTGAGTCGATTTTTCCCTGTTCGTCTGTCCGTATGTTTGAACGCGTCGGTTTCAGAAGATAAAAGAGCAAGAGACTTCCAATTTTTTTAAATGTCCGTATATACAGCGCGGATATCGAGTTTATCACAAAAAATCGATAACTCATCTTGTTTTTTTATCGATAAAATCCTTATCGAAAACCATTTATAAAATTATATCTCCTACACCTTTAACGCTAGAGTCTCCAAATTTTAAATGTATACTTATATGCATTTTATACAATTTTGGGTTTTCTTAAAATTTACCATATATTAAAACACCTCGAAAACGTCAAAAAGGAAACCTTTTTATTTCGATCTATGTTTCGATCAATATTTATGGACGCAATCGAATCATCATTCTTGTTGCCTTACTAGAGGCCTTTGAGATCCAGTACATGCCTTCATTAGAATCTACTACAGTGTGGAAATATCTGCCATTAAGGTTACTGGAAATACACAAATTAATTAAAGTATGGCAATGTTGAAAGGCTATTAATGATTTACCTTCCAAACGCATCCTCATGGAAATACCAATATCCGCCATGATGCATTGCAGATAATTTTTTAGGACTATTTTCTTTGTCGAAAGTCGAAAAATCTTTGCCCACATGTTGAGACAGCCTATCATGGGCACCTCTGTAACAGCCCACGCTTTTTAGCCTGTATCTTTCAGACTCAGAACCTATAACGAAGTTATCGTATATAGCCCAGGAAATTTCATTTCCAAAGCCCTGCACATAGACAAACAACTCGTATCGATGGTCCTTGGTCCGGCGATAGATATATTCCAGTCCTAGGAAGAATTCTCCCGCCTGACTCCCAAATCCATTTCGATAATCTGCCCAACTCCTATAAAAATTTTCGGAACCTTTGTATCGATTTTGGACGATAATCCACCCGGGTTTTGCTGCCTAAGAGTCGTATAAAACGTTAGACGGACTTACCACGGGCAGAGTAAGTGTTCTTACATAATCAAAAACGTTCATTGGAGTCGGACACCATGGTTTATTATTTGGTATTGACAGCTGATTAAAGCACTGTTGGTAATATTTTTCTTGAAGGCCATTGGAAACCAGCGACTGTAAGTTCTCTACTCTGGCCTGAAGGTCTGACAGTTCACTCTGAAGCGTCCATTGAATTTCAGTTTGATCATATTCAAATATCTGTTGACAAAGTTGCTCCTGCAGATTCCCGGTCGATTCGGTAAGTGCCTGTATTTCTGGGTACCCATTTGATTGGTCATTACAGACCAATTGCAGTTGCTTATCTTCTTTCTCCAGCACTATCGTGATTTCTTGCAGCGCTTGACAGCAATTTTGCATATCCGAGAGCCTCTAGATTGCAAATGGAATATAATATAACATCTTATATTCGATGTAGCTCAGATAGGCCCACACTCTACTTACCACGCACTGAACCTTGATGACTGTGAACGATGATGTCAAAAGGGCAAAAAAGATCAGAAGCCGCATTTTACAATACACTCGTTATCAAAGTTGAAAATGATCTGAAATTGAATAATTTGCTATGCATTAAGTTAACTCTATGCGAATTAAATTGAAATGTCAAAGTGGAACTGGAACCCATTGATTAGTACACGTCACGTATACGTCAGAAGTAGAGGTGTGGAGATTCGTTGTAGATATACATATATTATTATAATAATTAAATTTGTCAAATTATATCCCTAATTACTTGGAGTATATTTTTTGAAGAAAATTATATCAAATTTACACAAATAATATTAAAATTGCTATGTTTACAGCCTGTGGTAAACTGTATACGATGGAAAGCTTCAGGAACTAAACTCAGTATAAAGGCATAAACTAATATATGTATTGGGATTTATGCATCTATGAAAAAATTGTATGCATTATAATTAAAAACAGTTGAGAAAGGATTTGTATATATGTAGCATATAAACATTTAGCCTTATCAAACAAACTCGATCTGCGCGTGATATAAATGGACCTAAGAAACAAAATCGAATCTCTAGCTCCTATATCTTCAGAGATTGACGCGTTTAGGCATGAGTTTAAGACTCAGTTTATATATTTTATGAGGTCTGCCACGCTTCATTCTGCTTTCCCATTTTCAATGGATTCAGGGTATAAGAAATTTAAAACAATAATTATAAACTATCAACTACAGCTGAGAGAGTAAAAACGAATTTGTTAAGTTTTTGCTAAGTCTTGAAATTCAACAACATTATAGACTATATTATGGGCCAAAAAATATTTTAAAAATCTATTACTTAAGTTCACTATAAGCCTATGTACAATGTTGTATTTATGTTTATAAATTTTTATTTATAAACAACAATATGAACTGTTCGTAACAATTAATAAGAGAAAGGCTGATATCAATCCATTTAATGGCTATCTGTAGTTTTTTATGGCCAACACTTATGGCTGGCGTTTTGTTATTTAAGAGGACTTCACCCTTAAAACAACATTAGCAACAACAATAGCCACAACAGTAACAATAACAATAGCCTTAATGATAAGCAGACAGAGACAAACAGAAAAACGCTGCTGACAGCCGCACATGCTGCGTATACGCAATTTTCAACCCTCACACAAGGAGACGGCGACTGGTTGTTATCTATAAGTATAAGTGCGCCAAATAAAACAGGGTGAGGCAGACAGACAGAGTCGAAAACAGAGACAAAGCTGAAGCCGAAGCTGAAAGCACCCTGTACAGCTCTTTGTGTGTTGGATAGCTAGCATTGATGAGTAGGAGAAGTGTATAGAGTGTTGACAGAGAATGTCAGAGGCTACGGCTATAGAGCTCAGAGACATAAGTCTAAGCTGAAACTGAAACTGAGTCTACAAGGTAAGCACAGCGTATATTTGCCTGAAAACATGTATGTAACGAGCAGCTTTAGCTGTTTCAGCTCAAGACCAAGCACCCTGTACGCCTCTGTTTTCCTTTTGTCAGGGGGTGGCTGTGCGTATACTTAATATGTGTGTCGGATTGTGTGTGCAAAGGGGCAGGCGTGCGCTGCTGCTGCCGCTGGCAACGACGAGCAGCGAGAAGGACATGACGACGATGTGAATAGCTCGTCCTGTTAACGAGGCGACTCTTTGTCCCAGTTGCATCCGAACGCTACAGCCGTCAACTTTATCAAAAACGGGCAACGCGCAAATCAAGGTACAAAAATAAGAAAATCTTAGCAAAAGCCATGCAACTTTTGCCATACAAAATAAAAAGAAACTAAAGTTAATGCTTGCCGCAGTAGATTCAATTTGAGCAAAAGAAAGTCAAGTGAAATACATTTCAATTACAATTGGCGCTAACTCGAGCCCAGCTCGAGTTGATTTTATCGCAGACAAACCCTTTGCTGGAACTATTTATACTTTGGGTGCGGTCGCAATTTGCTTGAATTGCTGGAAATTAAACGTTTGATTTGAGTGCGTGTCAAATGGTTTGACAATGGCCGAAGCGTAAAGAAATTTTTGTTATATAAGTGCGAAAACTGTGTGTGAAATTTTCGTTTGCACTGAAAAATGTATCTGCATGTATACCAAAATGAAATTTCAATTCTGTATCTATAACTGGGACGACGCGAAGCTGCGGAGTCTGCGTTCTGCGCAGCCTTCAAAAAGCACAGCTGGTGGCTGGCGAGGAATGGGCTTGGGTGTGTGTGTGAGTGTGGGTGCTGCAGAAATCTGTTTTGGCACTGACCTAGACTCCGCCGGCTGACTCTTGTTGAGCCTGTGCACGCAAATACTTGTTGCATGCAAATGCCATGGCATGCTTCCCAGACCTCCATCCAGCCCCCCGACCCCAAATTCATTTTGTATACCCTCAAAGCCGCTGAAGATGTGCAAATGGGGTATATTAGGGGAAGAGGCGATTGAACACTTGGAGCATCAGCTACATTCCTGATGAATATCGACAGTCATTTCTGTTAAGGGTGTATTAGCCAAGAAGAAGAGGCTAGAAAAAGCTGAATACCGCTCAATGTCATTATATTTAAATGGGGTATACTGGCGTGGGATTAAAGTGGAAGGAACTGAACACCGTATATATAAAGCATATATTTTTATTCTGATTTATTTTGATAATCCAAATCCGATTGCGATATAATTTTATTTTATTTGTTTTTAATATCATCTTATAGCAACATTCATGACATTATGTATGAAATAGCATGCACCCGATTGCAATCATTATTAATATTTTTAGAAGACATTATTCGAACACTCGAATAGTCAGAGACATGAAACTCTATATTCAATACAATATTGAAATAAAATAGATATGTATTTTATTTAGTTCATTGATCAATTATCATCTTCGATCAATGCCTCGATTCCCAGCCGTAGACTGGGTATTTTGCAGGCAGTCAGTCACTTAACGTCGACTTTCGCTTGAATGAGCTGACACTGGCTCAATAGTAGCATGCCATTAACTCGAGTCTGTCCTTGCAGCTGCCGGCCACACGATGGTGACCAATGCGACGAACAACAACAATCTGCAGGCGAACAACAATAGTTCGACGCCGAACAACAACAACGATGGTTTTGACATTGACCAGGACGATGGCCTGCAGGACCTCGGCCTGCCCGTCTCCGTCCAAACGTTCCTGTGGCGCCAAATAGCGCCCTTCATCAGGCCGCGACTGGGCAAGCTGCATGAGGCCAGCTGCATGGTAAGTGTGTGTCAAGCAAAAGGGAAAATCGAATGAAAAATATACGAACAAATTGAAATGAGAGCAAAAAAAAAAAAAACCAAACAAACAA